AAATGTATTATTTTTTATTTAAATTTTTGGAAATGAAGTTAAGTTTTATTTTAATTTTTAATTTTATAATTTAAATTTAGGGGAAAAGGAAAAAAAAAAAGGGGGGGGGGAAGGGGGGAAGGGCTTGGTTTAAGGGAAAAGGGAAATGGGGTGCTCCCCCCAGTTCCCTTCCAATTTAATTAATTAATTTTTTTAATTTAAAATTAAAAAAAATTAAATTTTTATTAAAGATTGAGCTTCATTTTCCCCAAATTTTCAATCATAATTTTAAATATTACAAATTTTGTACATTTTATATACATAATACCTACATAATAAAAGTTTTGAAATTTTCTGCCACTAAATTGGGCAACCCAAATTTTAAACATCCCGGGAAACATACAAATTTACCCTGCGGGGGGAGGCCCGTTCTCTCCTGCTTTGCTTACATTTTGACAGTCATTTGGCCAAATTTTTTCTTTTCTAACCCCCGGGGCCTAAAAAAATAAGTGTAAAAGGGCAGTGCTGAGAAGAAAAAGACGATTTCCAAGGAATTAAAAAATGAAAACATAGATAAACATAAGCAAGGTGCACGGATTTTGGATTTAGCCAAAATACCAGCGAAGTACATCTATTTTAGGACAATACCAAAGCAGCAGGGTCGTAATGGGTATAGCGCCAGCCAAGGGCTGAAAATGTCTAACTGTGGACCTCTGTCCCCGAAAAGATGGAGAAGGGTGCTGTGATGTGGTTGGAAAAGGGGAAAGCAAGCTCGCAGGAACACCATGTCTGAGGTATCATCTGCGAGAAGGCCGAGGCAGGAAAAGTTAAACAAAACAAATTGGGATCAGTTATGTTCAGTGATTTAACCAAAAAAAAATTGAAAAAGTTATGTTTTAGTGATTTTAAAAAAACCAAATTTTATCAGTTTTTTTTTTTTTTTATTTTCACACTGGCCGATTCCCCCCAAGGCAGGGTGGCCCCCAAAAAAAAAAAAACTTTCACCATCATTCGCTCCATCACCGTTTGAAAAAGGGGGCTTTAACTTAAAATTTTTAAAAAATGCCCAAAATTAACCCCCTCCTTCAGATGCAGGCCCCGTACTTCTTCCCCCCAGGACCTCAAGTCCGGGGTTGCCGGTTTCCCTAATCCCTTCATAAATTTTTACTTTGTCCCCCACTCCAAAAGCACGCAAGTAAAAAAAAACCATTTGTCTCCAAATTACTCCTAACCAAAACCGGGTCACGCATGCCTGCTGGAAGTCCAAGCCCCTCGCACACATTTTTCCCCCTTTTCCCCCCCCCTCCCAAACCCCTTTCCCAGGCCCACCCCTTAAACCCCCCCCCTTCCCCTTTCCCCTACAGACCCGATACACTCTTGAAAATCCTTCGTTCGCCCATTCTCTCTACAGTCCGAACCACCTCAACAACCCTTCCTCAGCCCCCCTGGACAACAGTTTTGGTAATCCCGCACCTCCTCCTAACTTCCCAAACCCACGAATTTTCTGCATTTTATTCACACCACACATTTCCCCAGAATGACATCTCCACTGCCCCAGCCTTTTCCCCCCGCTGCAACATTTAACACCCCCCGCTTCACACCCATATAAGACGTTGGTAAAACTATACCCCTATACATTCCCCCTTTTGCCTCCAAGGACAAAGTTTTTTGTCTCCACAGACTCCTAAGGGGAACACTCAAATCTTTTTCCCCCATCAATTCTATGAAACACCTCATCTTTCATAGACCCAAACCGCTGACACGTCCACTCCCAAAAATCGAAAATGTTCACCTCCTCCACACCCTCTCCCTCCAAACTGTTTTTCAATCCTTTTATCACCTAATCTTTTTGTTATCCCCCCATAACCTTACTCTTTTCCCGTATTCAAACCTTTTAAAATTTTTTTTTTTTTGGAAAAACCCTACCAAAATTTATCCCCCAATTCCCAGCTTCTCTTTAAAATCTCCCCCAAAAGCCCAGGGGTCACAGCCCAAAAAAGCAGCTGTGACAACTTTCCCCCTTTGGGGGTGGGGATTCTTTATCTTTTAAATCCAAACCCCCTTGCCCAAAACCCTGATTTACTTCCTTCCCAACCCCCTCTATAAAAATATTTAAACAACCACGGTGGGCATCACAATCCTTGTCTAAAAACCTACTTTTACTGGGGAAAAAAAATTTTCCCCCTTTCCCACTATCTAATTGGCCTCACTATTTCCCCCGGGAAAAAAATCTTCACAGCTTTCAGTAACTCCTCCAAAAACCCTACACTTGCAAAAATCCCGCCACATTTCCCCCCCATCCACCCTTCATATGCCTTTTTTCCCAAAAACCCTAAATGCCCAAAGGGCCTCTTTTGCCCTTTTCTAAATACTGTTCATTAAAAGTTTCACTGTAAAAAAACCCGCCACCACCCCCACCTTTTCCCAAAGGGCCCCTTGTTCATCTGCTATCCCATTTTCCGTTTTTACTCTTAATTCTTTCAATTTATAACTTTACCAAAAACTTTACCAGGGACACCCCAACCCGACTTTCCCCCCATAATTTTTGCAAATCTCTTTTATCCCCCCTTTTCCTTTATACAAAGGGAAAATATGCATGCTCTTGCCAATTTCCCCAGGTCCCCTTTCCCCCCTTCCATACAAATTTTTTAAATAATTTTCACCAACCCCCTCCAAAACAAAATTTCCCCCCCCTTTAAAAAATTTCCCATCTTTTATCCCACAAACCCAGGTTGCCTTTACCCCCTTTCATTTTACCTACTGCCCCCCACGAACTTCCCCCCCATCACAACTGGCTTTTTCCCCACTCCCACCAAAATGTTAATTTCCCCCTTGCCCCATAACGAAATTTACAGCTTCCCCATCTTTTTCAACATTTAACAATTCCTCAAAAATTCCCTCCATCTTCCAATACTCTAACTCTCCATTTAATAACTCTCTTCTCCTATTTTTAACTGACAAATCCATTTGTCTCTAGGCTTTCTTAACTTGTTAATCTCACTCAAAACTTTTTCTTATTTTCAACAAATTTGTTGATAACATCTCACCCACTCTCTCATTTGCTCTCTTTTTACATTGCTTCACCACTCTCTTAACCTCTCTCTTTTTCTCCATATATCTTCCCTCCTTGCATCACTTCTACTTTGTAAAAACTTCTCATATGCTAACTTTTTCTCCTTACTACTCTCTTTACATCATCATTCCACCAATCACTCCTCTTCCCTCTGCACCCACTTTCCTGTAACCACAAACTTCTGCTGACACTAACACTACATTTTTTAAAACTACCCCATACCTCTTCGACCCATTGCCTATGCTTCATTAGCCCATCTATCCTCCAATAGCTGTTTATCTTACCCTAAACTGCCTCCTCTTTAGTTTTAAACCTTCACCTCTCTCTTCCCTGATGCTTCTATTCTCCTTGTATCCCATCTACCTTTTACTCTCAGTGTAGCTACAACTAGAAAGTGATCTGATATATCTGTGGCCCCTCTATAAACATGTACATCCTGAAGTCTATCAACAGTCTTTTATCTACCAATACATAATTCAACAAACTACTGTCATTTCGCCCTACATCATATCGTGTATACTTATTTATCCTCTTTTTCTTAAAATATGTATTACCTATAACTAAACCCCTTTCTATACAAAGTTCAATCAAAGGGCTCCCATTATCATTTACACCTGGCACCCCAAACTTACCTACCACACCCTCTCTAAAAGTTTCTCCTACTTTAGCATTCAGGTCCCCTACCACAATTACTCTCTCACTTGGTTCAAAGGCTCCTATACATTCACTTAACATCTCCCAAAATCTCTCTCTCTCCTCTGCATTCCTCTCTTCTCCAGGTGCATACACGCTTATTATGACCCACTTCTCGCATCCAACCTTTACTTTAATCCACATAATTCTTGAATTTACACATTCATATTCTCTTTTCTCCTTCCATAACTGATCATTTAACATTACTGAAACAAATTGTACGAGTTAAGTTCAGCGATGAAACAAAACGTTGTTGTTGGAGGTTTACAGGGGCACTATCTTCATACGCCGCACTGCGAATCTCCCACCCTCAACCTCCTCCACACTCAGCCGCTACCACCATCTCTGCTCCAAGTGTGTAAGTACATATACACTTTATATAAACAGTTTATTATTTCTTTACATTCTGTAGTGCATTATGATTTGTGTGTTTATATACAATATTTTCAGTGCTTTCCATAGAAAACTAGTGATCTACTGCAGTTAGCCTCAAAAATACTCAGTTTTCTCTTACAATAAGAGCATGAGAAGATACTATATAGTCAAAGTTAGACAGAAAATGGTGGACACATCTGCTGCTGCCTCTGCCACCATATTATGGCCTATTTTATTCATTCTAGAGTATATATCATGTTTCTGTGTTAATTATACTGTTTATTATGTCATATTAGATGAATTGTGAAACAAATAAGCAGTACAGTTGATAATAGTCATATTTAACTATTTTTTCGTCATCTCTCCAGAGTGCAGGAACGGATTAATGACTTTTCAATTAATTTAAACGAGGAAAATTAATTTGATATACAAGTATATTGAGTTACAAGCTAGCTCCTGGAATGTATTAAACTCTTAAGGCAAGGTTCCACTGTATTTTGAAATTGCCATCTTTTGAAATTTGTGTGAAATTGGCCAAATTGCCAATTTCTGACCACTTCATTGGGTAGCTGAAATTGGTAAATGGGTGGTTTCTTGTACTCAGTTGATAGAACAAATGAAGTTCAGTGAAATAACAGATTGGTCAACTGGAACAATGGAATTTGCCAAAAATAGGGCTCAAAGTGGATGAAATCGCTGATGCGCATATATCGCTGAGACCACTAAATTTGTGAGAGCATAATTCCATAAGTTTTCCATCAAATTTTGTACTTTTGGTGTCATTACCACCGGGAAAGATTTGCTATCATTTCAAAGATTTTTTTTTTTTTTAATTCTTCGACACAGAGAAAGTTTGTGAGCAGGGGTCTCAACAATGAAAGGGTTAAATATCACAAGCTTAGCTCTGTACATGTAGCTACATTACAGTCATGATGGAAGCACTGAACTAGTAGGGGTCATACAGCACCTGGGGAAAAGGGTGGATGGTAAGGAGGTCAGATTCAATCAAAAGAAGGGGAGCATAGGTCCAATGCCCTAGATCAAGAGCCCCTCACAGGCATCAAGGAACCTCCCTTAAGGAAGCTACTAATAGTAAAAATAATACTTTAATAAATGAAGTCTATGCCCACCTTAGGATACATAGCATAACTCAGAACATCATACTCAGTTATACGTGGGCCATGCTCTTCAGAGAGTTTAGATTTAATTGCAGCGAAGTCTAAAGGAGCCATCGTTGCTCCAGGACGTCCCTTTACTGTTGGCAAACCCTTCAGCATCTGCAGTGACAAAAATATAGTAACCATTATATAGATTATTTAATTTCTAGTTTATCCCTTGTTGTGATACGAGAAACTATTTGGTGGGTGGGACTGAGCCTAATTCTCTAAGTTTTTCTCATCTCTTATCTATTTTGATTCAATAGGCCTTTCCTTATTTTACAGTATATTTAAAGTTCATATTTCCCCCTAATTTTACTTTTCTTTGAAAGTCTTCCTCAATGTTTTGGTAAATTTTTTCATAGTTATTGTGTTATGCACTCATAAAACACAATATAATGCCACTATGCCTCTACTATATAATGGATGCATCTCTGATGAAGGATGGGAAGAAAGGTGAGAGGGATAGTATATAATATGATGTTGCTCCTCTCTCTCTCTCTCTCTCTCACAAAATTGGTCCCCATCTCTCCCACAGGGATGTGATACAGGAAGCAGAAAATTCAGATGCATCTGTGGGGACCTGTGGTGAAAGGCAATATAAATTACAGTATCTGGTTGTTGTACGAGAAAGCCATTGTTAATTGGGGGACAAAGGAGAGGGGAATGCCAGTCTGGAACAGTCCTAGGTTTCCTGGGCATCATTTGAAATTATGGTTATTAAGTGAAAGACCACTGATTCACTAATCATAAATAGTTATTGCATTAAAACAGTCAAGTGCAAAATGTGCCCAATATATTATTCTGTCTACTACAAGTCTCTCTGTGCACTGCACTTAGGGCCAGAGGCTCTGATGCATTACTATGCACTATTCCAAGAGAGAAATCACTGCACAGTGAGTAGGAAGTCATCAAGTCATTTTTGACAATACTTTAATAATTTAATTTTTTTAAATGACTTTTTCTAATCTTTGTTTTTCTTCAAAGATGTCACATCTGTGGATCTCTGGAATACTTATGTATAATAGCAAAAATTAAGACTAAGATCTGACACATTTTATATCTTTAATAAATCTTAAACAAGCAATACAGCAAACTCTTATTTACTATTATACATAACTGGAAACACAAGAAGCACTGACCTTTGTTCGAAGTGGTTCACTGAATCCTCCATAAGGCTCACCCAAGTATCCTTGGACAAATTCTATGACAGACTTGGGGAAGCTAAGATTCTCTGCCCCTGCTTCAACATCTGCAGCAGACAGTTTGTTCTGTACCATGAACTGAGCCAAGTCTCCTACTACTTTTGATGATGGTGTTACCTGTTCAAGTTTATAAAAAAAAAAAAAAAAAAAAAAAAAAAAAAAAAAAAAACACCATTATAATTCAGTATATAATCACCTTGAGAATGAACAGATTGAAGACCCCCCCCCCCCAAAAAAAAGGCAATTATTTGATATATGGAATAGACATTTGTGTTTTATTTTGCTTCTAACAAGCCCTTCAAGATGCAACAAAGTGATGGCAATTGAAAGGTTAAAAAAAAAAAAATCAAATATGAACTAAATGTACAGCAGATAGATATTCCAATACTAAAAAAAAAAAAAATTAAAAACCTAACAAAAATTATACGAAGGCCAACTTTGCTTGAGGACCAGCTATGTATGTACATATGCACTCGCTCATACCACATTATCTCTTGGCCCAAAACTACTACAGTACTCAAGTGATTCAGTAATTTATTTCATGGTTTTTAATAAAATAAAATTTT